CCAAAAGTCTTCAGGGTCATCTAGATGTTTTTTGGTGAATGCGAGATGAGCCTTTGTGTTCTTTTTGGTCAGCAGTGGTTTGTGCCTTGCAACTCTCCCATGGATGCCATTTTTGCCCAGTGTTTTTCTTATTGTGGAATCATGAACATTGACCTTAACTGAGACAAGTGAGGCCTGAAGTTCTTCAGATGTTTATGTGGGTTCTATTGTGGCCTCCTGGATGAGTTGCCAATGCACTCTTGATAAAATTTTGGTAGGCCGACCTCTCCTGGGAAGGTTCACTACTGTTCTAAGTTTCCTCCACTTGTGGATAATGGCGCTCACTGTGGTTCGCTTGAGTCCCAGAGCCTTGACAATGGCTTTATAACCCTTTTCAGACTGGCAGATTTCAATGACTTTGTTTCACATCTGTATTTGAATCTCTTCAGAACGTGGCATCCTGTGCTGCTTTTTGAGACCTTCTAGCTGCTTCACATTGCCAAACAGGCTCTTTTTAAGTGATGTTTAGATTCAATAGGTCTGTAGCTGGCGAAATTGAACCCAATAGTCCATTGAATTTGGTTAACTGATTTAGTAGCTAAGGGGGCAATTACTTTTTCACATAGGGCCAGGTAAGACTGAACAGCATTTTTCTTCAATAAATGAAATCATTAAAAGATTTTTTGCTTGCTTGGGTATCTTTATCTGATATTAAAAGTAGTTTGATGATCTGAAACATTCAAGTGTGACAAATACGCAAAAATAGAAGTAATCAGGATTGAAAATGTTTTTCAATCTCTGACATTCATGTAACAACATAAGTAACTATGCGGGTGATTTCAGCCAAGAAAACTGCATTTACCTCACCAGGCAGACCAGCTTGGCAGGGGTTACCACCACAATAACCACAGTGATGAAGCAGATCCTGAACAATGACTGTAGCCATATAAAATACAATTAATATGTGCTCCATAATAGAATGGGCACCTGCCAATAGGTTTCTATTGTAAATGTAAATGTAGTCCATAGGTTTTCTGCTCTATTCTGGGCACAGGAAAATTGTCCATGACAACTGACCATATGCTACAGATCTGCCAGATAGAAATTAGATAAACATGCTGCTGTTTTACTTTAAGCCTAACCTCATCTTTGGTAGACAAAAGTAAAAGCATGTTCCTCTTTTAGTTTTTCAAATCAACAAAGCATTTGGCTAAAAATAAAAGAATACTCTTGTGAATCAAAATGCCAACAAAATATCCCGATAACGTCATATTTTCCTATCACTGTGAGGCTTTCTTCTCTCCAAAGAGAGTAAAACAGGCTCCACACACGCATAAATGCACACACACACACAGTTCATCATGCACTACTCCAGTCACAACCGTAGTCATCCAGCCAGGTCTCAGAATTTACAGCAGTGGTCATAAACCTCCAAAGCCCACTTATAAACAATATTAAAACTTTATGTTCCAACAAGTTTATTTCCTCACACATAAAAGGATCTAGCAAATAAGGCCTCAGGAGGTATTAAAAAACTCCACTGTCCTCCACCACTGCCTTTTCTGCCATTCCATCCACCGAGCGTTAGAGTTCATTCTGCAGACTAGATGAAGTCCAGGTTTGGAATGACCCAGTGGTTGACATTCAGTACCAGACAGAGAAACACTCAGAAAACTTGTTTGGCAGCTGTTGCTGTCTTGAAAAAACAGAGTGCATCATTTTGAAAGACACACTGTACACAGAGATGACTCTGAACTAAAGACTGTACAGTCAGTCTAGTAATCATGTTAAATCCCCAGTTTGCTAGTTCAGCCCACGTCTTCTTCAAATGGTTGACACAGAAGAAGAGACTGTATGACTGAAGGAAGGAAGAGAACTTGGGCTGGAGTTCTGGGTGGCTTCTGCTTTAAACTAGAAGCCCAGACCCCCCCTTGATGAACAGAGATAGGACTGAGAGAGGATCGAGGAACAGCGAAAACTTTGTGAAGGAGACGGAAGATAGAGAGGGAACTTCATGGGACGTTACACTGGAAGGAGGTGGAGTTTCATGTGTGGTCTTCTACAATAATGGCTTTTCGAAAAGAATTAGTAAGTAGCTAATTATTTTTCTCTTCAAATAGCAATCTGATACTGAAACGTGATCAGCTGATACAGACTGTTTACTACTGAAACGACTAAGCTTTAAAATTAGCTGCTGTTATTTAAGACATTTCCTTTAAGACGGCATACTCAAACTGCTCAAACACTCTACCACCCTACAATAAGAAATGCACAACCAGCCACATGGATTATATAAAACCACAGCGCTTTTTTTGTTAATCTCTTTCACAAAAACTAGCAGTCTTTTAAAATTATATTATTTATCATTTAACTATTTAAAATAAAGGAACAGTAATTCTAGGATTAAAACAGTAACTTATTGTTGAGTTTTGGCCAGTACTGATCCAAACTGATCTTTTTTTTTTATAGATAATACAGAGACAGTGAGATATACCACTACTACAGTAAAATTCAGCATTCTACATTCGCATGTTTTGTTTTATACCCTACTTTTTATATGACCATTTACAAAGTGTTTTATATTGATTATGATCCAGTTTGATTTGGATACCAGTTACTTTGAAATGCTGCAGTAAAAGTATGTCACATTTTGATATGTGCATAATTCTGATCTCCGATTTTTTTTAGACTATTCATGTCAAATAACTATTTTATGGTGTTGTGAATATGCAGAGCATTCATACTTCTCCCACACTGCTTTCTATCTTTTTGAATACACTGTTAATTGTTACTAATCCAGAAGGAACGCAGGCACTGTTGCCAGTAAAGCAGAGTGTTTCTGTGATGTTTTAGTTTTTAACCAGTCAAGACTGGCAAGTGACAGTGTGAAGGTGTAATTTTTACATGGTTTTAATGGCTTGTCGCTTGCTGTAAACAGCAAAAAATTATGTGCTATGCCTATATTTACACAAAAGGCAGCTACTTTAAACACATTTGAAGCATGAGGACTGCAATAATTACAAGTTTTCATTTTTCATTTTCAAACACTTCACACTGTAGACACTTAGTTTATATCTAGAAACATGCCACATGGCTGTATATTGCAGATAATGTATGTTTATGACTTAACTTAGGGAGCAACATTGGTGTAACAGTATGCATGGCACCTTTTTTTCTCACATTCTGCCAAACCGGATCCCTCTGCTAACTGCTGGTACATGTTTCTATGTCATTCTTGTTATGGAAATGAAGGAACTGTACCAAACATATTTAGGGCAGTTTCTTATCTGTTTTAATGTAAACAAAAGCTTGAAACGAGAATAAAATACAGACTTACGGTTTTTATGCTTTTATAATTTTCAGAATGCATCAGTGGTCCACATAAGCTAGGAAGTCAGCTCGCTCAATCTCACTATAGCTACCTTGGCAAGTAACCTTGGAGACATTTATGGTTTAAATTTTGCTTTACTGTTCAAATGATATTGACTTTATCCAATCAAATGTCCTCCTTTCAAATCTTCACTGTGATTACATACATATAAAGGCAGATATTTACATTATTTTAACCATCATGGATTCAAAGAAGAGAAAGTGAGCCACTGTTTCCTTCCGCTTCCCTCTGAGAAAATTTGATATTTGACGTTTGTGACAAAGACCTGTCTATCGGTGCCTGATTGGCTAAATGCAATGCAGTGGCAAGACTCATTTGCATAAAGTTGAAATCTGTGAAACTGTTCCACCGCATAGCAAGGCAGATTTCACCGAACCGCAACCCATCATGTACTACGCTTTGTGGCATAGCTGTGGAGTTAATCTTGTGCCAAATGTTTCAAATAATTAATAAAATCTACATGCAAAATGTTTGAATATATTAAAAAAATGTGTTGGAAATACAAATAATGAAAAAAGTTTAAAAATATGCAATCAAAATTATTACTACTCATTTTCACTAATTTTGATATAAATGCATTTATAATAAATAATATAATCAATGCATTTTGAAAATTTTGTTTTTTTTCTGATACATTTTTGGTTCTGGGAAAAAAAATTGGCACATTTTTTTTTTACAGAGGGTGTTTACCTCCACTGTCTACTGGTCACCTGAATTGGAGTGACCAGTCTTCTGACACCAAGCCATAGCCATGTTCCTATACAAAAAGATCTTTTGGACATTGAAGAACATAAACTTTGACGAAAACATCCCACCTTTCAGTTTTGCAGATACATGAAAATGTGCCAAAAGTCAGAAGCAAAAGAAAGATTTCAGAAGCAAAAAAAGCATCACAAAAAAATCAGCAAATAGAAAAAAATAAAAGCAAATGCTGGCAAAATTAGTAATACCTTTTTATTAAAATCAGTGAGATGAGTAGTAATCTTTTTGAATGATTAAGTTTAAATCACATCATTTGTATCTGCAGTTTTGAATTTTGATTACTTCATTATTTTATTTGAAACTTTTGGCACAAAATGAACTCCATACAGAGCTCTCCATTGAAAGAAATAGGATGCAGCTCGGTGAACTTTCAAGTGGACATGTACCGTGAATAGAGCGCAAAATAGATATCAAAGGATCAGAACTGGGTTATTTTAGCCCATACCTGATCAATTATAACATGCCTGGATTGCCCCCCATCCTGATCCACTGAACACCATTAATTATAATTACTGGCTACTGTTGTCCTCTACTTTGCTGTACATTATATTAAATGACATTATGTGTGACATTTGTTGCTGTATTTGTTAGAGAACTGGATTAGATGCTTTCTTTGTTTCCCCTCCAGTATGGCCCGATACCAATACTGGGAGCCATCTCTACTAACAGTTATAGACAAAATTATTGATGGTATGTTTACCTCTCTTAACTGTCCCTGTCCTTTCAACATGATGCAGTGGAACAGACTTAAATGTAGCACTGTGATGCACACACTTGGACCCATCCCCTCTCTACCGCCCCCCAACACACACACACACACACACACACGCACACACACGCACACACACGCACACGTACACACACTTACCATCTGCAGTATATCAGTGGAGACCATCTGCATGCAGCACATGGCTGTAGCAAGAGCGCACACAATGGTGGAGATGACATTCAACGCACACACACTAAACAACAGCTCCTGCAGAGAGAGAGAGAGAGAGAGAGAGAGAGAGAGAGAGAGAGAGAGAGAGAGAGAGATAGTTAAGCAATACAGGATATTTTTTGCAGCAAAACTACAGTCTGAATTACGCTGTTATTGTTCAGTTGTGAAGATGTCAGCTGGCAAGGGGAGAATTATGGTGTATGTGAAGAGTGAGAGAAGAAAAGAAAGACAGAATGGTACAACAGAAAAGAGAGAAAAGAGGAGATGAGGATGAGATAGATTACAATACTGTCATTATGTTGTCTAAGTATGTTCATTACTTGTGACAGTAATGACATCAACGTGTATCAGATTTCTGACGTGCTTATCTGTGATCAGGTTTTGTTTTCCTTTGTAAATGAGTGTGATTATGTCTACAGTGATGATAGAAATTTAAATAATTTCCTGGATTTTACATGTATGGTCACTACACAGGTACTAAGAACAGATAATATGTAAAGTACTCTGCAAATGTCACAAACAAAAGACAAAGTTAAACAAAGTTAATTTTTCAGTGTTAAGAAAAAAGCAGAAAACATATTTAAAAGAAAATTACAGAAGCCTCCACAATGAAATATAAAATCAGCTTTTTTCAGCATGTATTTTTTATTACAGCTTCCATGCTTTTCAGGAGAGTTTTTCAAAGAAATCTGTAGGCGTATTTTTTTGCACCTTCAAAAGTCAGTCTTAGAAGTTGTCTGCATTTTCTGCTTCGTAATCTAAGTAATCCCAAACACATTCAGTAATTTTGCCGTCTCTGGTAGTTTGTTTGATTTTAAAATTTTCTTTTTTTTCTTTTTTCAGTAACAGCTTCTTGATAGCCACACATCCTTTCAGACTCATGGCGCCGTGTTGAAAGGATGGGCACCTGTGGATTTTTTTCAGTACTTTAAATACTGTTTATCTGATGGGGACAGTCTTGGTGCCCCATTTTCTCTGTATCTTATATAATTATGCAATTTAATTACCTTTATGTGTGTGTGTGTGTGTGTGTGTGTGTGTGTGTGTGTGCGCTAGGGCTGCACAAAACAGACAAAATACTATTATTGTGACTAAACTGCTATTAGGGCTGTCAAAGTTAACACATTAATAATGTGCTACCATGATAAACTATTAATGGCATTCATTTATTTATGTCCATTAATGCATTTTCCTAGTTTGGCCCTTTAAACCACTCTTGTGCGCTGTATGTTGCTATAATAGAATCCACGATTTTAGTCATCTCACACACATACAGCTTTTAATTGGTTTATAAAGCAAATATAAGCTCTTTTATATATTACAGCCTTCTGCTTAAAAACTCCAAAGGCCAATATTGTGATGACAATTGGTAACATATACTGTGCAGCCCTAGATTATGTCCCATTGGACCAGCAAATTTGGACGAGATGATGTCTAAGTTAATAGAAAAAAATGACCTAAAAGAATTTGCTTTGCTTGTAGTCATTTGTTTAACCTACTGTGCTGGTATATGAATGCAGTAAAAAAAAACAAAAAAATGAAAGAATCTGGTTATGAATATTAGAATGGATAACAATGACATCTTTTGTCTTTATCTTTCTTCTACATGCATTTTTTTTTTTTTAATTGTATTTGCTTATGCTCTCGCACTGTTTGTTCACCAAGCTGCTGTTATGCTCTCTCATCATTTTCTGCTGGAATTTGTATGGAATGTGTATCTTTTCTGATTGTGGTTGAACAGAATTAAACGGTTACATTCAACAAGTGATTAACAAGTAGTCATTATTACTGAACCCAACTAGAATGCCATTTTTCAGCAAGAGATGACTTTCCAAAAGGTCTAGATGTACATCAGCACAGGGGCACAAATAGAAGTACAGATACATAAACGGTGTTCACTGCTGTGATGCAACCAGATGAATCAGGCTTGAGGCAAAAATAAAAAAGAGAGGCTTTACTGTCAAGGGCTAGGGCGAAACTCGTGGTCGTGAAACAGGAAGGTCAAATCCGAAAAAATCCAAAGACAGAAAAGAAAAATCATTACAACCAGGCAACCAAATCCAAAGGGGCAGAGACAAGCAGACAATGTTGAAAATTTCCAGGCAGACAAAACAGTAACAAGAAGACCATCAGAAAAACGCTCAGTAGCTCTCACTCGAAGAAGCAATACCTCGCAAAGTAACTAGTCTAAAAGCCCAGGCTTTATACTCAATCTAACTAGACACATGACAGAACAGGTGTACAAGATTAGTATTCAGGAGAATGAGATCGATGATTGGAGCGCTGAGAAGAGTCATCGGTCATGTGATCCCCCACAGGGTTCTGGGAGATGCAGTTCGTGAGCGTCTCTGGGATGTGTGACAACTGCACGTGAATAGGTTATTCAATATTTCACTCTAATTTATTTTCAATCCCAACTGTGGGACAGTGAGAAGCAACAACTTGACGAGTAGTGCAGTGAAAAAATGAGCTGGTTTCAGTTTTATGCAAATTACAAGCAGCAGCTGCGTAGCCCTGACCAAAAGCAACTTTCCATTGTCCGTACCCTAAGACATTGTTCCATCTGGAACTCTTCATGCTTCTTGCAGCTGCCAACCCTGTTCTTTCTTGGATGCATGGTGCAGCTTATTTAGTGTGTTTATTATCTGCATTTATAGCCCAGTACAGTTTAAACAATAGCCTATTTGAGCATGAATGCATGTCACTAGATGCTGCTGTAAACAGACAAAAAATAAATAAGGAATATTTTAACTACACAAGTCTGTTATATAACACAGAAATATTTCATTCAAGAGGCCTGTTTACCAGAGCAGCCTACTTAAATTAGAAGAGAATTTATTTGAAGTCCATACATGACTGACAGGTTCATCCGTATCCTGTGTGATAGTCAGACATGCCCTCAAGCGCTGTGATATTCGTGCTGTGTGCAGTGGACACACACCTAAGGGTGGACTTGAGGGAGAACATGCTGGCTTGGATTACAATGATTCACATGTCAGATAACCCTGAGTAGCTAAGAACAGTTGGCATAGCACATCTAGGTACCCATGATGCTCATGATTTCGAGGCAAAATTACAGTCTGTGAAGTCTGATATGTCTTGCTAGCAAGTCATGTGACCAGGTGTGATGAGATGAATATAGTAGTCCAAAATGATTATTAGGAACTTCTACCCTAAACTTCCACTCACTGCTCAACCTACCTTATAGGTCTAATATATAGATGTACAATTTACATACTGAAGCTTGCCTGTTTGCACAGTTTGTCAGCCGACCCCTATTCCAGTGGTCAACAACTGTTCTTCTGGAGATCTATGTTTAGATATTTTCATAATGGCTCACCAGGGCCCCTTCGTGGCTCAGAACCCTGGGCGCATGCCCATAAAACCCACTGGATGACCCGGGCCTGTTGCACACAAACACTTTTTGGCCATTCTAGATTAAACTTCTCTGAAATTAGACCTAAACTTAAACTAAACTAAACTAAAACTTGGTTAGACTATGACTCGTATTCACACTCAGTAGCATATCTTGGAGTTCCAATGCCCGAGGAACAGTTCCAATTCTTTTTTTTTTCCCAGAAAGAAGATGCTACAGCTTGCCCTCTTGTTTTCTACTGGCTTTTACAAGATTTGAGAATTCACAGGGTTAAAGTTCAGCTAGATCAGGGGTGTCAAACTCAACAACTTAAAGGGCCATATTAAAAACGTCAGAAAATCTGTGAGCCGGCTGTGTTTTCATTTCTTTTTTACTTAACATTCTGCCATGAACAGGCTATTTTTTGTTCAAAGTATGCCAAAACTGCAACAGCAAAATAGGCATTGAATACTTATTCAAAAATAATTCTAAATAAAAATAAATTGTTTTAGGTAGTTTTTTAAAACTGCCTATTTGCTTGAACTAGACACCAGGCATCTTTTCTTTTTGTGTAACTGCTGGCCCATAGACTGTTGTTGGGGGAAGAAGGTCAGAACGCACACTCTGTTGCAGTGCATGCAGGGTACTGTAGTGCATCTCAGGGTGAAATGGGCTAAGAACAGAAAATTAAAATAATTTTGCGGGCTGAATAGGACTGTGTCACGGACCTGACTTGGCCCACGGGCCTTGTGTTTCACACATGGGACCTAGATGAACTCAAATTCCTTTTATATGTTCCTGCGTCCATCCATGAGAACTGGCTTTTTCACCAGGCAAATTTTACTTGTGTTCAGTGTGACTGAGGCTATGAAAGGAATCCTGCTCCTATCCAGTGGGAGTGCTTGCTTGTCTGTATTCTATCTAGACATTCTGATTGGACAATTTTCAACTGGACATTTCAACAAGATTTCAACCCTTTCGCTTGCAATCAAACCTTAACAATGAAATAAGTGCAATACTCCAAAAATAACTACAATAAGCATGATGATCATATGACAAAAAAATGAACTAAACACTACAGGTATTCATATTTTAAATCTGAGAGCCTCCTCTGAAGGCCTAGAAGGCCTTGAGTGTTCTCCACTGGTAGTTACTGAGTAACACATTTAATAACAGAATGATAAGCCTGCAGTTTAAAGGGTTAATAAGGCTGACATTTTCTTGAAGTATCTTCAGAGATACTGTTACAGCAAATAAAAGAAGCTATTGTCCCTGCCAAGGCGCCAGCAGTCCTCCAGCGCCTCATCTGACACGATAACACAGACATGTCACTTACTAGCTTTATGATGACGAATCTTTCAAGGTATCACACTTCTTAATGAGCACTTAAGGGAAAAACGAGCTGGTCATCATGACACACACCGCTGCCTTTTAATGGCCGATGAGCTTTAGAGAGCAGGTGTGGTAATGTGGGCTCTGAGTCATTATGCAGGCCCAAGCAGAGGCCATTACGGCACCTTCCCCTTACCTCCATACAATCTTTATAACTTCACACAACAATAGAAGAGACTTTGTATTTACAGTTCGTCCAGTGAAAATGTTATTTAACCGCATCACAGCACAAGCACTAGCACCTGACCTTTGAAACTGACCAATGATGAATAAGACAGAAGATGACAGA